CGGCTTTTTGTTTTCGCAACGCTGCCGTGTTATTTTTCCGGCACAGCGAAAGCCAACTTTCCCATCAGAGATGAAATTCTAATTCGAATTGGAATGCGCGCCATAACGCCTAACGGCGCGGCGTCGAAGCGAACGCCGTTGATTGTAAAAAAAAACGGAGAGCTGGCCGTAATACGTCCGTCGAGGGCGATTTTAATAGAAACGCTTTATACCTCTACAAGCGTGCGCTCACACGCGCCAGACCTACTGTTGCAGTTGAGGTTATGTTTGTTTATGTTCATGTCAGGTTAAGTTGGGTTATGTGTGGCGTGCAATATAACCGCCGATAAATCATCGAAATGAAATCGCATAAATACGTCCGGCGCCGCGCCGGCTACACAACATAACCTACAAAGTGTTACAAAAGTATGCAACCAATATAACATGTTTACTACAGTTGCGCGGAGAAAAACTTACTTTTTAAAAACAGAAAAATGTAACTGTTTGTTATAATGTAGCAATTGTGGGTTGTTATTTTATTAAAATTAATATTTTGTGATTGTAACAATGACCGGTCGGTAAAAACGCCCCCGGCTCTCGGTTTGTGATTAAAGCTCACTTACACGCCGCCACCACCCCCCACATTGTTCGCACAGTCCGTCGGCGGCGGCGCTATCATCAGCGCGACGCTTGAACGCTTGAATCATTTGTAACGAGCCCTTCCTGCAATACGTTATCGTCCCTCCGGACCACCGCCGAGGCCGCCGCCGCACGCGAATTGCTCACGTCATGCCGGGCATCGAGGGCTAATTATTACATTGAAATTCACGGCGTTATCTGCGCTACCCCCATCCTCGACAAAAAAATAAAACAGAAAATACCGAGAAAAACAGAATCGTACAAAACATATATGGCCATAAAACGTCAAAAAGAGTGTTTTTATTTTTTTAATTGGGGGGGCTTGTTTCGAAACAAGGGTGAAGGCAACACTCTTCAAATGTAAATGTTTTGTTTCGGAAATTTGTGTAAACAGCAACTCGAAAACCAATTACATTTTTTCGAAAATCACAATACAGTTATGAGCTTGTTGTGACATATTTAAGGTTATGTTTTGGTATTAATACGTCAATAATTCAATTCCAAAGTAGTAAATTTTGTTTTTCAAGTTGTAAATCCCGCCTCTTGGGAAATGTAAGAAATGTACGAGTAGCCTTGTACCCAACAAGATGGCGACGAGAGGAAATAAAGTCTCGCCTCGCTTGCGGATGGCAACGATCCAAGCCATAAGTGGATACGCATAACGAAATTGCACGCTTGTCGCCGGATTGCATTTGCTGCTTTGCATCCCCATGAAGAAAAAAGACTTCTCGGCGCACCCCACTTGTAGTCTGACCTAGATTTGCAAGAAAATTCAATCTTTCTTAATTCAATTTTAATTTTGATTGAACACTCGCCAAATGCATCCCCGGGTAAATTAAGCTTTGAAGTTGAGAAACGGTTATTTTACAAATTCTTAAAATAAATGGATGAGGTGCAAGGTGTTGAAGTGTTTAATGTTGTTTTTTTGAATTTGAAATGTGTTGCTCATGTTTTATTTTTCGGAAGTTTTGGACAGGGTGCCTTGAAGAGAGTTTTCCTAGCATATGATTTTATAGGGGTGCATAATAGTGAGATGCTAATTCGATGCAAAATAATACGCGTCGGGGCCGCCCATATCGTTAGCATATCTTAGCAGGAGACTTCCGGGAATTCCTTTACTCCAGCTTCCGCCCTTGTCATCACCTTTCTAATATTTGAAGGACACAGTGTCACCCACTTTCAAAATTTTAAGATATTTAAGATTTCCTCTTCTTTTTGTTTTTTCATCTTTCACTTGAGAATCTCTCGAATTTAGTTCGTTTCGGAATTTCCTGCTCCGGAAAAATTGAAAAACCCGCGCCGTAAAAGAGACTGGTTTATGTTAATATCTTTGTGGAATCGGCGGCGAAGTCAAGCTGAAACTCGTGACGCCCCATTGTGTGCGTCGGTAATCGCCCGACCAGCGCCATGTTTGTTTGAATTTGTGAATTTCTCGGAATTTCTCTCCCCAATGACCGGCACAACCTTTCCGATCGTTTTCGCAACGGATACCCGCATGCAAAAGATGTGAAATAAAATAAAAGAAAAGCGTCGAGGTGTGGCGGGGGTGAACGAGCGCCCCCTGAAATGGAATCTATTCTATTTCCACTTGTGGAGTGGGATTTTAGAGCGTCAGGGAGCGAAGCGAAAGCAAACACGTGTTCGAGACACTTTTACTATGCAAAGAAGCTAAACAATTTACGAGCACTTAAAACCAACCGATCTGCGCGCATGCACGAAAAACACTCGAAGAAACTCCGGAAACATTCAATACAATCGCTTGCGGAAAGTGAGAAGTGATAAAATCAATTGCGGCGGCGAAGGTGGTGGCGATGGAGGTGATTTCACCAAAGTGCATTGGAAATCAGAACAAAAGAAAATGCAACCAATTTAACAGCCATTGAATGCCAGGTGGGGAATGTGTTGCCTATATTAAACACATTTCAGTTGCAATTTGAATAGGAACGAGCTGGCATCGAATCATCTTTTCACCGAATCATGCGCGCGGTAAATAAATCCGGATGAGCGCAATACTCGTAGTTGGAAATAAGTGCGGACGTGAAAACGCGTGGAAATTGCTCGTGATGCGTAGAGAGATGCGATTTCCGCCACTCTTGCACATTCGTGAATGTAACACAATAAAGTTTTATGCTGCAACACACTTCTCACAACGAATTACTTTCATTTCAAACAAACAAATATGGTTATGCAACCACGCCGCCATTTTGTTTTAGTGATAAATTTACATGCATTCAGTCTATAGACTTTAACGAGATAATTGTTTCGAAAATCGACGTTTCAATAATTTCAGCACTATGCACGTGCAGATCCACGACTGGCGGCGGCAACAATGCCGGTTAATATAATTGCAGCTCAATTGTATCCGCACACAATAGGCACAAGCCAAGCGCAACAATATCAGCCAACGTGCAGCCACTATCTTTGTCTGGCAGTCTACATAATGACCATCATGCAATGTATATTGGGTTGCCTATTTATACCTCATTTCACAAAAACAGTAATATTTCCAATTTTTCAGTAATAAAAACAAAATATATCAAGTTTAATTAAACCTTTTAAGCTCATTCGCAGTTATTAACATAGACGAGAAACAAATGACTGGAAATATTTTATCTGATTACACCTTAATTGGCTTTACAACTACTTTCCACTTAACTCCCGTAGCCGAGTCGAAGCTCCGCCTCGCACGCTAAATATAGTCAACCCATTATACACCAGTAAACGCGAAGGTTTTAATATCCTCGCAACACACGACGCACACGGTGAGACATTTGTGTTGTTTTACTTAATAGTCCCGGCCATGGGGCACAACAACAAACGAATGTCTAGCATTCCTGGTGCAGTCGCGAAGCGGCGCATTCTGCATAATACTCTCGCGCTGGCGTGTGCATCTCCGGCGTATGCAAATACAAACAAACAACGGAACGCGTTTGTTGGCGTTGTTAATTTCGCGTATTTGAGCGCACGCACGTGCTTAATACCCACCTACGGCCGCGATTATAATTGGAATACATAGAATACGTAATTTCAGCGCTGAGTTATAGGTTATGTAACCTGTATTTGTGCATTTGGGCCGGCTCCCACTAGCGCACAACCGCGCAATGTTACAACTTTATGCTAATTTGTTAATTTATTATATTTAATTGGAATGAAATGCGACTCACTAATTGGGCATCTCTGAACGTTAAACTTCACCTGCACTCAGGGCGTATTATACATGATAGTGTATAATGAGTAGCAATTATATTTTCGCAGGAAAAAGAGTCGTAATTTTCGAAGATTTACTTCATGTTATTACGTCTAATGTTCATATCTGTTCATTTCCAGTCCGTCCGGGAGCATCTTCCGCGGATTCGATTTTTCATTTTAATTATGCGCCTCTTAGTGCAATAAGTAACAGGCGGCTCGCGAGCACGTCTCCTGGAGAGTGCATTTCTTCCGTTCAATTCTCGATGCGCGCGGACACGGAGATCCTCGCCGGCGTGTTCATTTTTCATACTTTTAATATCAGCGCGGAAAAGTTTCCGCATTAAAAGCGTTTTATGAACACGTAATGAGCGCGGGAGGATTTGCATAGTTTTATATATTATTCGTTTGGCGAACGTTTTTCAACAGATTTTTTTTAGCCTGCACAAACTCTTTATAAGTCTTGCACTTTTGCGCTGAGTACTTGTGTAGAAATTCGCAATTGCGCAAAACGGAAAATTTAAACAAAGTTATGGATTAAAAGTTGCAAGTCTGTATTAAACAAAAGAGTTTGTGTTTGAGTTCATAATGAGAATGCAAATTTGAGCATTAAATTAAAGAATTAAAACTGTGAAAAAAGTTTATTATGTTCGTTTGTGTAAAATTCAATATTTTAGTACTTGGGGCGAGAGAAAACGTAAATAATCGGAAACAAGTTTGCTGTGTGATATCGTCGTGCACTTAAGGTATTAAATATTAAAGTGCGCCGAACGCTTCGTTCACTTTGCGAATTCTTATGTGTTTTACACGCACCGCCATTTTCCCTTTAATATCTTCTTTTGCGTTATTAAAACTTTCCTCGCGACTAAAACTTTATGGCTGCAGCCAGGAAATGCTCAACGTGTTTGTTTTCAATTACAATTAAATCAGTAGTGATAAATTTCCTGACTAACAAAACTATGAAAAAATTCAACTTTCGTTTGCTTGTTTTTAAAATTTTTGGTTATGTCTGCGAGGCATTGTAGGTTAGTGAGTTTTTGATGAGATTTTATATCGTTTGAAGTCTCATCTCATCTCGCCGAGGCACTTTGTTGACGATGTAATAAACGTAATTACATAATATCGTTGCTTGTAAAAATTAAAGCGCACTTCTTTTGTGCCTTGTTTTTCTAATCTCGTTTTATTCTCTGTTGCAGTAAGTGCCGAGACTCGCCATCCAGTGATCGTCTACATTCACGGCGAAAGCTTCGAGTGGAACTCGGGTAATCCTTACGATGGGAGTGTTTTAGCATCCTACGCCGACCTCGTGGTCGTCACACTTAATTATCGACTAGGTATCTTAGGTAAGTATTTATTTTAGTGTTGTGTTGATAAAACCTTACCAAACACCTTATAGAATATAAGGTTTTGAATTCTAGTTCATTTGGCAAACATCTGTTGCTGATGTTCATTGCCTGCACGTGTTGTCCTCTCCCTACAATGCCAAAACTTACGAGAATTTTCTGGTTATAGGTTTTTTAAATGCAAATCCAGCGCCGCATCTGAAAGCGCGCGTGGCAAACTACGGTTTAATGGACCAAATCGCCGCCCTGCACTGGATCCAACAGAATATCGCCCTTTTCGGCGGCGATCCGACGAACGTGACGCTTGCTGGTCATGGCAGCGGCGCAGCGTGCATCAACTTCTTGATGATTTCACCGACGGTGATGCCTGGTCTGTTTCATCGCACACTGCTCTTGAGTGGTTCAGCGCTGTCTTCGTGGGCCTTAGTTGAAGATCCAGTTAATTATGCAGTCAAACTAGCGAAGGAGGTCAACTGTTCTATCCCTGATGATGTGGGGAAAGACCACGAGGCTATTGTAGATTGTTTAAGAGAAGCTCCCTTAGAACATCTGTTGGGAGCAGAGGTGGCAGCACCAGCTTACCTGAGTGCATTTGGGCCTAGCGTCGATGGGGTCGTCATCAAGACAGACTTTGCCAAAGAACTGGTGACATATTTTAAGCCTTCGGATTTGCAGAATTTTGTAGGACCTGTCAATGCAAATATGAAGCGGTCCGAAGCAAACTTGACCCCACGAGGGACAAATCCCTATGATATTCTCTTTGGCGTGGTTACCAGTGAAGCATTGTGGAGGTTCTCCGCGGCGGACATCCAAGCAGGATTTGAAGGTGAACGAAGGGATAAAATCATCAGGACCTACGTCAGGAATGCCTATACTTATCACCTTAGTGAGATCTTCTTCACTGTGGTGAATGAATACACAGACTGGGAACGCACTGTTCAACATCCTATCAATACCAGAGATGCAGCAGTCGCAGCATTATCAGACGCACAATTTGTTGCACCTCTTGTTCAAACCGGGGATCTCCTTAGTGCGAAACCTCCACAACCAGGTCAAGAACAAACAGGACCTAAGACATTCTTTTATGTCTTTGATTACCAGACCAAAGATGGGGACTATCCACAGGTGAGTCTAACTGGAAATAAAACAACCCCGTACGGTCATGAATAGCAATTTCCGTAAGTGCTGCGTAATAGCCCATTAGAGGGCGCGCAACAAATAAAAACACAATAAAACGACAATTTCAACAAAACGGTGCGCGCGAACGATAAAACGAAACCGAAACCGCTCGCACATAACCTCGAACTGAATTAGCGGGGTCGCGGCAGCCGCTTTTTCGGAGAAGATAATAACGCGTCTCCTAAGTGGCGCAAATAGATGTTTACAGCGAAACTCGCTCGGGTGCTAAAACTACCACTAACCTGGTGCGTCGTGTCGTTATGTCGTTCACAATTTAGATTTATATCGGTTTATCTTTCATCGTTTACGCGCGCCCTAACCTAAAACCTTCGCGACGCAGCTTTCAGTAAACGTGCGCTTCGTTGATGAAGCAATTATAAGATTATAGGACACGCGAAAATAGAAGACGTTGGTGAGAGGGTAGTACGGGTGTCAGCTCAACTAACTTTGGCAACATTTGCGTTTTCTAAATTACGACCGAATCCTCGCATGGCACATTACTCGATGGCGCAGTCATAAAGCATGTCGCCTTGCTGTCTCCATAACCTAAACTTTCTGCTATACAGCGCGTCTGGAAGAACAAATCGCATACAACAAATGTCAAATGTTAAATTTTACGCAAACTCTTTGTATAGATGATTAAAGTTTTTGCGAATATAATTATACAGCGTCTTGGCACTTCGGGGGCTTGTTGACTTTCGAGATGTAGAGATTTGCCAGTGGCGCGTCGAAATTATTACTAATAACGTTATAACCGACGTTTGTGAGCGCCGAATAACGAACCACGCCGGCGGAGACAGGCGACATGTGTTTTGCCGACTTCCAGACGGATGACATTTGCGGTCGCGGCACGTCTTTGCGCTTTGCGCCCGCCATTCCGTGCGTGTAACGCGTAACAGTCTAATAATCTTGCCAAACCGCTACGCACGCACGATCAACCCAAGATAACTCAAACGGAAGTCATGAAATCGTGTCTCTTCAACTTCGTACCACCAGCGCCATCTAGATCACATATATTACATTGAAAACATTTCAAATTAACTATTTGTTTAGTTGATTTTATGATTGTCAAAGTTAAATTAATCTACGAGTGCAAACAAATTGCCTGTTCTATAACATGCACAGTGTTGATTGTAATGAACCATTAGTCCGACTGATAACGACTGCTTTCCGGGATAGTTTGTTAGCTAACGGCGTCATAATTAAAACTAAACGCAAAGGGTCGCACTGTTGGAAACAAAGTCATTTTAATTATTTTTTCGCATGCAGGCTGAATAAAAAATGAAATAATGCAGAAGCGGAAACGCAATTCCCCAAGCATGCAACATTGTTTCATAAACAAGCGAGTATCCTTGTTATTTACGTTGTTTATGTAATTTACGAAACTCTACAGACTCTAGCAACAAAAAATAAACTTTTATGAGTTTTTAATACATACGTATATACAGAGCGTTTGTTCGGGAGGCACCAGCGGCTGGAAAAGTTATTTGTTTCCTCATTTGTTTGTTTTTCTTGCAGCGCATGGGCACAGTGCACGGGGAGGAGTTGCCGTACATCTTCGGAGCGCCTCTGGTCGACGGCTTCAACCACTTTCCACGCAACTACACGAGAAGCGAGCTGGCGCTGGCGGAAGCCGTCATCATTTACATTGCTAATTTTGCTCGAACCGGGTGAGTTACTATGCCCTACAATTTTCCTATGTACACACGTGCAGTGAAGGAATTGTCGAATCTTTTTGGCAGCCGAATTGCTGTTCACAACATTCTTTGACGTGCAGAAATGAGAAGCTAAGCTAGAGATGAGTAAAGACTTTTTTGGTTGATTTTTTTGTTGTGTTACGTTATAAATTCACATAAGAGCGATTATACTATGAATGAGAATAGGCAGCCTAGGACAAACACTTGAATTTCGCGAACAATTGCACTAAGACGAATTGATGACGCGAATTATGCGAGAAAAGAGACTCGCCCGCATCTAGCTCGCGCGCAAATATGGCGCTCGCGTATGTTTGCGCGTAAATTTGTTGGGGCGTGAATGCGTTCAACTTGCGCTCAACTTGGCGTCGACTTCCAATTTACGTCCGCATTGTTCTCCTCGCAAACGCAGCGCTCCTCACGCAGAATTTCGTATTCATGGAAATTTGAATAAATTTCACCGACGCGGCCACGGGTATAGCGCGTCGCGCGTCATACGCGAATGCTAATTTTCATTTACCGCCCTTCTGCGAGGCGCGCCGCCGTCGCCACCCTCGACATAAGCATAAGAATGAGCATAATCGCGCGCACGCTCTAAGCGTTCGCGCATTGTCGAAATCTTCAATATTTTCATAGAAGATTGCCCAAGAAAACATTGACGCAGAACCCAAAATCCAAACACTAAACATTTCGAAACTAAATGTGAGAATTTGAAACACTGAAAGCACACTGTATATCTTGAATAAATACGATTTCTAATTTGTGGAGAATTTGTCTTTGAAGACAGAAAACTCACACTCATATTAAATCGTATTAATTCAGTGAGGCGTTCTGGTGAGGTTCTAAAATAACACGTGATTGTAGATTTAGATGATTTCGCAGCGGGTGGCATAATGAAATTGAATCACATTTGCGTGTGTTGGTGAAATTGTGCGGAATGTCGCGGCGCGTTTTATTGTTGCATTATTCGTCCTTCGTCGTTGCGTGCATTCCGGACTCTGTGAGAGCCGGATGCCGGCAAAGAGCGCGACAAGTTCGTGAGGTTTGTTCGAAACTTGTGGCAAACATGCAAACAATAAAGCAGACGCATTGTAATTAAACATACCGCATGCAAAAACTTTGAGGGGAACTTTATAACATGTACCAACATGTATAAAAGTCGAAAGTTTTAAAATTATTCATTCTTGACGTCTATTTTTATTTTGAGATGAGGAAAAATCATTTTAAGACATTATGTGGGTCACTGAAGAAATTATTTACTAAAAACTCTTTTAAATAATAGTTTGAGTAGTATTTTTAAATATAATTCATTTACTATTGTTTAGATGTCGCTAGGATGCACTTATTTGCAATCAATTATTCTGCGGAATATCGTAGCACGCGTTTCGTTCGAATCAGGTGATGTTTATTAGTGTCTGTAAGTTGTATGTTTTATCAGTGCGTATGTATGCATTAAAATAAATGTGCAACAATCGAGTTCGTGCGAATTCAAGCATGCTGCGTAGGCACAAATCATTTGAGGAACAAGAATAATAAATAAATTTATTGACAAATCGTGTTATTTTTAATTATACAAAAATACTTGTTTATTTTATTGTCGATATTCATTACATATATTAAAATCGCGCTATTGACAGATTTTATTAGCAAGTTATTTAAAATTCCACAATTGAAGAGATTGATGGAATTTCATTGAAATCTGTTTAATTTTGTTATTGATATTTATGTTAGATACAGGTATACAGGCCGCGATGTTTACCTTGACAAGTGAATGATAACAATAAACAAGTTTCAACTTGTTTCTTTCAACGTTTCAAATCGTACCGAGATGTCGCAAGAATGCACTTTGTTGCATTAAATAAGATCAGTCGATTTCAGTCGCGCAGCAGTTCAATGAATAAATAAAATATTAGTAAACTAATATTATATATAAATTTAGATATTGAATGCTGAATAATATTTATTAAAATAACTATTTATTTTTAAACAAATAATCGGAATATATTGATGAAATCTAATTTTCGCTGATATTTCAGTTTGGCAGCGTTAATATCAGTAAGAAGACAAGATTAATACTATTTGTGCCAAATAAGATACGGTTTTTGTTGTGACACATATAATTCACAGCTTTTTTATGATATTTACAGGCATAAATTATTATTTACTGCAATTACGAGTCGACTGGGCTCATTCTTGGCACACATCGCCTTCTTGGCCGTGCCAAAAACGCACATTGTAAATACTTTCCTTCCTCGGCGCAACTTCCGGAACGGGCGAGTTTTAGTTGTGCGCGCTTTACACCGCCACTTTGCCAGTTTGCTCGCACATGTCGCCCCGCTAAGTGCTGCGAAATGGAAACACGAAGCCTCGTAAAATCCCGGCCGCCACACGCGCGCATAAACATTTGAATAGGGGGCGGCCGGTTTCGGGTGCTGTTGCAAGTTTTCAACTTGCACACACGCCTGCATCCTAAGCGCACAGGCAGAAAATAATAATTTCGCAATCTTCCGGATTTATTCACAGATATATTATTCTGAAAGCTTTCGTAGAGACGTTGTGTTGGTACATACATTTATTTTCGCTGTATGCTGGTTAGTTACTGCGGTATGTTTTTGGTTAGGTGGTATGAAAAGCGGGGATTGCGCACAAAACTACGAGCGCCGCGGGCGTTAGATTTCATTGTGTTTGCATCATAATAGAATGTGTTCGAAATTTCCGGCGTTTAATTCGGTTTTCCAGTAAACTAACGCCGGGACCCACTAACGCCGCGCTTGCGAAAGATGCAGAAACGTATTATGATGGCGGGAACGTGCGGGAATTTATTAAACATGTTGAAGGAAAGCGACTAAAAGCTTAGTCATAAGCAAAAAATCAACATCCACAACGCGAACAATAAAATTTAATTTCATTCTATTCTTACGCAAATTTTAACATTAGCTACGCACGCACGTCTTTTACATGTTACAAATCTATATATAATGATTTAATTTCCTTTTAATTTCGCACGAGTTTCCCGGAAGTGCGTGCCTCGCACGCACAATTCATTATCTTATCATCAATTTGCCGGCTTGCCATTTGTCACTTGTCATTTTCGCGTGGTTATCTTGGAATTTCGCATTTCGATTGCTAATGTCCTAACACTCCCCGGCAGCTAACTTTAAACTCCAACATCTTGCACGTCTTCATCCCCAAGTGTGTTAGGAGCGTTCATCTGCGTGTCAGTCGTTTATTCCGCGCGTTTCGCTGATGAAATATTGATGACGACGCGTAAAGCACCCACGAGTCGCAAAGGGAGTCATCACAATCTAATGTATATCCAGTGTAGTCGGTGATATATGTACTAATGTTGGCGAATCTGAAATGTCATCACATTATATCGCGTATTACATAAGTTGTTGATGTTTTTTTGTGGGGTTTTAAGACAATTTAAGTTGAGTTTTGACTTGAATCGATACTTTAATGCTGGCATAATGTATTGAACTTGATAGGTGTGGGTGATCTAAGTGCAAAAGCAATTTGCAAGCGTTTTAGCATCGTTTGTTTAGTGCGTAAGTGACGAGCCAATTGAAGTGCACATGACGTTTAACACTTCAACATTTACCCAACAGTTTCATGTACTGACAAACTCATAGGTTAATTAAATTGTACTAGTTTACTAATTGTGTAATATATTATAATGATAATGGTGATAATTATTTTGTTGGTGTATGGTTGTGGACGCATGGTATGTTTGAACATTTGCACAATTCGTTGTTGGATTTTTTGCGCCCTGGATGTCTTTGTTAGCACAGAGAATTGTTAAACCCTCCATGCCGGTTACGCAACGTAAGCCGCCTCTCTAGCTGTGGAATTGTCGCAAAAGGTGAAATTGGTAGCTCGACAAAATGGAAAAGCGTTTCGTTTATTCTTTTTCTCGGCGCTGGACTCTGACAAAAAGGGTCAGGATTTAAAAAGCGGATTTTTATATGTCGCCTTTCGGTGACCCCCCTCAGCCAGCCCGCACAATATCACACTTCGCTTTTTGGTGTGCCGCATTCATACGTTCTCGGATCGTATAAGAAAATGACAAATATCCCACAAATGCCACGCCGAAAAGCGATATCTATAAACGTGACAATTGTGTGCAAATCGACACGAAATCAACTTGTTCCTTAAGAAAAAAAAAGACATCAAAATCAATCGGAGCAAAAAAATATTTTAAAAATACTGAAAACGCATGTCATTTGATATCATTTATTTCTTACTTTTAATTTATAGCGTTTGTTTTAAGTTGTTTATTCTAAAATGTGAATTAATCATTTGTTAACATAAATTTTAAGCCAAGACAATGAAAACGTAAAAAACCCTAGACACGCGTACAAAAAATGATAAAAGAACAAAGAATCCCCAAAAAAAACGAACAAAAAAGAAACGTGGCTGATGAGAATTTAAACGCATCGGGCCTTGATCAAGATAAATGAATGAAACCGGAGCTGATGTGAATGAATAACGAGTTTACTTTTACCGTTATTGTTCAATCGTATAAATTAAAACAAAAAAATCACCAAAAGGCGCAGATTCTTTCTGTTTATTAGGATACAATAATGTTGTTGCTTTATTAGATTGAATTTAACGCGTGAGTTCACATCGACACCTTCATTCATGAAGGCTACCAACAATTCAGAGTTTTATCAAAGTGAAGGAGGGGAGCAACACTTTCTTGACTTAATTCATAGGTGACGCTAGAATGCATTTTTGTGCATTAAAATAAAATCAGGTGATTCCTTGGAGCTAGTTTGTTTGTGTCCGTGAATTTGATATCAATTTAAAAATAAACACAACTAGAATAATAACAAAACACTTTTTATAAGTATTTATTGAATATCTACCGGTTTTTCTAGTTAATTTACTTTATTTTTCTATTCTTCGATAATATATTATCGATTCATGAATGTCTCATAAATTTTTTAATTAAAAATGAAACGAAATGTAAACTTTAATTAATTTCCACAAGGAAGAAATTTTAATTTTCTATCTAACCTTGATATCAAATATTTACATTCGTGAAAAGTTTCGCGTTGTTTCAGGAAACTTTCCGGCGGTTTTCTTTTATTTCCACGCGACACACGCTGATATCTTAGAGTTTTAAGAGTTTAGACTTAAAGTGTATGCCAGCACGATAATATTTTACTTTCGAAAAGTTGCCATCTCTCGAGCATGCCGAGCGGAGAGATCAATTTTTAGCGCGACTCGCGGCTAAAAATTCGAAGAGTCGACGACGTAGACGAAAATTGCCATTACGTACACAATGCGAATGTCAATGGCGCGTCGGCGATGTGCAATATGCAGGCTGGCGGGGCGAGAATATGTATTCGCGTCTTGATGGAGCGAAAACTTTGCTTTGCAGTGCAATCAATACATTGTTGCGGGAGCGGCGCCGTTGAATGCTCGAGTGGATCCCTCGATGATGATGATGGTATCGACTTCAATGGCAAACTAGAACGACGAAAGAATTTCATGTCGCACGAGAATATTCTAACGCATTTTATTATGGTTATTATAACATTTTCTTTATAAGTTTATTCAACGAAGCATTAAAATATAATTGTTAAGTTGTTAAAATGCTAGTTGGCATGCGCAGTAGTTACCACTTCATATTAATGACTAATATAATGAACATTTGGTCGTAGTTTTAAGGGTTTTTACTGGTCACTTTTGTCGCTTTTCTCTCATTAATATGACATAAAAGTGTCGCCGAAACGGCGATTCTATGATGCGGCACAAATTTATCAAAGCGTTCAAGCTTTGCTGAACGCCGCGGTAATAAAAACGACTCCGAGTCCGAGGAAGCAAACGTCCGATATTATTAATCAAATTATTTAATGGCCGCACCAAACCGCATGCCCTCATAAATCAGCCGTGAGCTTTTATTAAACCTTTCCTAACCTAACCTATTTCAATTTTATTGTTTATATCAAACGCTAATACTTCTACGATATTTTTTTCATGTCTTGCGATTTTGTAAAATCTTTAACTTAATTTGAAAACTTGTTACTTGAGTTTTATCCCCGCAACGAAGAAATCTTGACGGTTATTAAGATTCCCTCAAGCAACAAGGTTGTAAACTCGCCGGCACTTGTAATCCAACTTGCGAGCGAACGTCACTCTGCCCGCGGGCAACATACTAATTTCTAACCGTGCACTTTTTATCACCATCATCGTTTTGTTGCCCGTTTACACTTTACGGTTTGTAATCCGCCATCCGCCGCCGCACAAATCCCACATCTTACATCTTGCTTGCTTTTGAGTGTTGGTCTCAATCTCAGGTCTCTCAAGTTTCGCTCCAACCGTAGATACCGAATGAGATGCGCAAATTTCCAGTTAGCATGAAGGCGAAAAACTATCCCGCTTAAATGGAAAAGTCTGTAAAGTCACTTTTACGGTGCGCCCACGCACTCACACACGCCCTTCGGGCCTAGGTACTCGTAAGGTGACTGGGATCAGACAGGTTTCTATATAAAACGCAAAAAAGGAGTATACGCTTGGACTTTCACGACGCAATCTTGTTTCGTCGTAACTTTTTTAAGCGAAAACATACGCTGTAAAAGATTTTAAGCAAATTGCAAATTTAATCAAAAGACAACAGAAATTTTTGCGAATATTTCACTGAATTGCATGCAAACTTGGTTAGTCAAAGTGGTCAGCGAGTAGGTTTGCAAGCTTCACGGAGTGGAAATGCCGGAATAATCAGGCGAATGGAGTGAAATCAATTAGATTGAGTTTGCCACATTAGGTTGGTATCCAATGATAACGAACAAAATCAATTTCGTGTGGAGTTAATGCAAAATCACATATCAACTTGTTCAAATTACTCAAATTTGTTAATATTATCACAAATAGTCACTTTAAACATTAAATTTAAGCACATATTCAAAAATTTCACTTGATATTATTAGAATTGACTAAATCAGATACCAACAATATGGCTGACTTTTTCTCCACCAACCTTGCTTGGGTTTTGCCAGAAATCGAACGCTTTTCAGATCATTTAATCGCCGATATAGACGACGATTATCGCAAAAGGATGCGCTCCAACTGTCTCTGGCCTCTAGCAGCTCTCTTTCTGCAGGTCTGAGGACCCGAAACGCTGGTTTAAACGATGCGGTAGTCCGGGCACGGGCGCGCCATTTGTTTTTACAGCGATTCGCATTTACATTTACGGGCTCCGCACGTTTCGCGAATACACTCGCGCGGAAACGAATAAAAATCCAATTTACATACGCTAATTGTATACTAATTGCCGTTTTATGTTCCATCCCCTACTTGTAGCAATCCCAACGAGCACCACAAGCAGGAGCCAGTGCTTGCCGCCTCCAGAGAGCGAAATCGTTTTCGATCGATCGTCTGGGACGAGTACGACAGCGTGCATCAGAAGTATTTAGAAATTGGTAAGTGAAACAGATATTTATTACGATTTCAAGAGTTATTGAAATGTAAAATTTAAATCCCTATTTATTAATTTTATCAATTTTAGGTTAGTTAATATTTCGACTATTAATGAAACTATATAAGCAATTAAGTTTCGCTCAACTAAAATAGCATCCACATAACCTTAATTGCATTCCCCTCCACGAATCCGAAGGGGAATCGTGGCGCTCATGTTTATTATTTTGCAAATTGTTTGCGCAGCTCAATCGGTTTGTGCGGCCCGCCGCTGTTGGAAGGGTAGTTAGCACGAGTTGTAAATATGCGCAAAATTACCTGCCGGGCATATTTTATTAACTGTATCTGAAAACTATGTGTGTCGGCGGCAATAGCGCACCATAGAATTCCAATAATTTGGAGGGTCGAGCGATAGCGCGGTTTTCGGTCGTAATGTTTGTTGTACCACCACCACAACCGCCGCCGCCACCACTACGCATTTTGTTTTGTGGTGCGAGATTTGTTGCACTCCGAGCTATTCTTGTATCGTTGTATCGTTTTATGGCCGGCTTTTGTTTTTGTAAATATATGAAACACGCCACTATGCACGTAGCAAAAAATATACATAAAGTGTATTTGTTTTAAGGTTGCTGCAGTAATGTTTTCATAGTGGTGTGCATATTTTTCCCGCAAAGTTAAAAATTTAAATTATTCAACTATAAATACAAATAAAAATTTTTGTTTTCTGCAAAAATAATATTTCTTGCAATTAATTGTGTATGTGAATAATGTTAATCAAAATAAATGCATACATCCGCTTGAGTGCCGCCTCCTGCGACGCCCTGGTTGTTCCTGCAGACGCCACCCTTCGCGTTTCGCCGTCGACACGTACCGGATTGTTAATGCATCTCGTAATAAATGATATTTCATATTCCATTAGTTTCGGCGCTGCACAGCGTGGCGCGGATTGCAGCGATGTTCGCATTTAGCATATTCTTCATCTCATATAGCATGTTCCACTAAATCCACGCTGGTTTCATCACACATCTTACTCGACACCACAGTGAAAACATTTCGGAGCACTCGATATAAAACACTTACTGGTGTGCGCATACCGCTCTATCCTAACGACTGCAATCACCAAACGTTCAACCGACAGAGCGCGCTCGCGCATTGTTATGGTATGCAGCCAACATCGCACAGCCGGTTTTGTGTGGCCTACCGCAATAGTTACCAACATACGCGCACATGCATCTTCTTTTGCCTGTATGCTGACAAATCGTAATTTTCCTCACTTCGCAACAAAAGCAAACAAATATAACGTGTTATCGTAAAACACTACACATTTAAAAAACACAAATATATAACCTAAAAGTTGATGAAATCACTTATAGAATGATAAATTTTATTATAATAACTTGATTTATTTTATGATTTTGGCAGTTTAAGAAGTTGTCGGTTTAGGTAGACAGCTCTTGTCGAATATCTATTATGTTCCCGATTCCCGGTCCCCGCGCCGTGCATATTGCACATCCACTTTGCCTGGCTGCATGCAGCGCATGCATAAAGCATAAAGTTTCCGATATGGAGCGGTGGCGGAGGCGGTGTGCGCCGCCGTGAAGCATATCCATCATATTCACAGCACCCACCACCTCTACCTTACACCCATCCAGGAGGAGACAAATCTTCACTATCTCCGCACGTTTCCAAGTATCTAGCCGTTTGCGTGCAGCCGTTAGAAACCATTAGAAACAAACTCCTGGTTGGGGTACTTGATAGAACTCTACTTCAGGTTTTATATCAGTTTTCTATACGAGTTTCCCAGTAGTTTAGATCTTCATTTTAAAAGTTGGTATATAAACTTCAAAAACCTAGAATATTGTTTCACGTAAAATATATTTTTTAAAAGATTAATGTATTGATTAAACTGGCAGTTAATTTAGTCCACGTGGAGATTCGTTTTAGGAGACCTTTCCTTTGTAGAGTGTGCGGACATCAATATTCAAAGTTTGTCTCCTCGCACGATCATTTATTAGATGTCTCACGGAGCAAACACACTACCTCACTACTACTAATAGTATACTTTGTGTGTCGATCGCTAGATGTCGCTACGTGGGTGTTAGTAAAGGTTTAATAAAAGTGCGTTCAATCTATTGGATCTTTCGGTTGCTTGATCGTGCGGATAGAATAAGTACCAACCTTATTCCTTCACATTCTCTTCTGCATTTACATTCTGTAGAGTCACTATAACAAAAATTACAATGTAAAATCGTTTTAATTTTTTTTGTTTTTTTTTTGTATGTTGCTAATCTTCTCTTTTGTGATGATGGTAGAATGATTAAATTCACTCCAGAGTTAATTAAATCGCGCACACGTGAAAATGCATTTTAATTAACTTTTAATGTCCAAGAGTAATGTGTGTATTGAGCTGAATTTGCATTCGAGACTGCCTGTGAGCTATTGTATTTCAATTGGTGTAAAGTTTATGAATATTTATGTGTTGGTTATGATCAATTCCAATATAGGCAACTGAATATTTGTTTTATTTGCGTGTCTGCGCTTGTACTCCGCTTAGGTACTTACTTACGTAAATAGAAAATGTCGTTTTGAATATTTCGATGTTTATTTTATTTATACTGCAGTTTTTTATGTTTATTCGTAATGTTATTCGCATTCAAGCGATGTAAAACTTAAAAAAATGGGCTAAATTTGTATTCGTTGTATTTTCGGCACGTTCGTGCGTTCATTTGAAGATTGGTTGCATATGGCGCCGCATCCTGCATCCGTTGGCTTCCATTTCCATTTCGTCGCCGAATTTCTCCATCTCCAAATTCGTGGCCGAGCCGCTGGAAAAACGAAAAACGAACCACTTTACGAAAGTTGCAGCTGCACGGCGGCGGCGACAGCGTCGCCTGAAACTTTTCGACATTTATACGACTGCCATATTTCGCCGAATTATATTAAAATACTTTCGTCTTTCGTCTTTTTGAGCGCCAGTCAGGCTCAGCCGATGCGCCGAAAAGATGTTCGGGGACTTGCGACTCAAGTCCGAATACGATTTGCAGCTTAGAAAACAAAACAGAGCGGAAAATAATCAACAAAGCGAAATGGAACTGAATTAATCGAAACACAAAACAAAATAACTTTGTTGCGGATATGCAAAATTCGCTTAAATCTTACCAAAGTCATGAGAAAAACTTGGAATTGAAAACAAGAAAAGAATTTTAATGATTAAATCGAATATCTCAATAAATTCTAAAATGTTTTAGAAAAATATCGTGGTGTCACTGCAAATTGTATTCTTTTGAAAATAGCTTTTCAAGTATCATCACATTACCGGCGACCGCCGAGCTTTCATTCTGCTCTAACAGGTATCACCTCGCTGATCCTAGAATAATTGGAGGGCTCTGCTTGCCATGGCGTCACAATGAACGATCGGGCGATAACAATCCGTGGGTAGCAAGGTGACAATATTTAAGGAATAGTTACAAGCGAAAGTCCCCTTTAAACCCACCTTTAAAGTCTTCTTAAGCGCAAAAGCGCAAAAAAATTGCTATAAAATCTCAAATAAATTGGACTTGACTCTTGAGATCCGTTTAGGACTCAATTTCTCAAATTCTTAGAAACGTTTTGAGCATTTATCAAATAAAAATGTTGTTTCTTGATTTCACAACTATTATAAAATAATATAAGTTATATTTAACGTAAGGCAAGAAATAAAAACATTAGTTTAGAAATGATGGAAAGAAGACCTAGGAGACTATTTTTCATTTTGGCCGACGTCACTAGAGAGCTTCTGTTTCCGGTTCCGTAAAAATTCGTTTTTTTTTGTTTTCGACTCGCGTGCGTTTTCCATTCGTCTTGCGTTCGTCTATAATGCAACATAAAACTGAGACGAGAGCACACGAGTAGTAGGTACGTAATTCCCGAGATAGTTAAACGAATGAAAGTCTTCGAGCTCTCCTGCGGGAGCCGCTTCCCGCGAATCGTTAGATATACAAAACGGCGCGCAAATCAAGCGTGAAATCACATCGCGCCTGTTTTTTTTTCTCTCGTTCGGTTTGTCCGCTCCGACGTTCGTGAAGGAGAGTGGTAGTTACATGTGGGACGTTGAAAGTCACCGAATTGTGTGTTTAACTGAAAGTTAACTGAAAGCTATATTCCGGGATGACTTTCGATTGGATTGGGAAAAATCTTTCAATTTCGATTTTTAACCGGGAAATAAAATAAATCAACGAATTTCTGCTTACGTTGTGTTTGACTGCTTTTTTATTTGACTGTTTTTAAGTAATTTCAGTTCCTGCAGAGCCGTAATGTTACATCAACATTTTGGGCGAAGCAATTACGACAACCAATCGATATTATTAATTACGTCAAAGCTTGCGTCGATTAAAACGCAATCATCCGTGCTTAGGAGCAGCTCGCTAGCTCGTTTGCTGATGATGATGTTTGTTTGCCAGTTTGCCAGCTTTCCTCCCTCGTTAAAGATGTTTTTTTTCCATTTCTCTGTCTTTATGTACTGCCAGTTGAAAAATATGATTAAATTGGTTTAAATTTGTTTCAGGGATGAAACCGCGAATGAAAAATCATTTCCGAGCCCATCAGCTAAGTGTTTGGCTTCGGTTGATCCCAGAACTTCATCGAGCAGGCATGGAGGATGTTGTGGCTCGTCACAATCTCTTCCGAAATCATAACAACGCTGAACTTTATGATGGTCCAGTTCGACCGGATCCACTCTCACGGGTTAGCTATTATGACCCTACTATGGAGTTGTTCCGAAGAAGACCGAACTCCTCCTTGACTTCATTGGAGGCCCCTACTACAATAGACACTATTGTGACAACCTGCGTCAATGTTGTCTCCGGTGGCAACTTCAACCCTCAAACCTTTCACGGTCACAACGCTACAGCAACTGATACACTTGCGAGTTTAGAAGCTGCTGGTTACGCGGCCTATAGTACTGCCCTTTCAGTGACCATCGCAATTGGTTGTTCATTGCTCATATTAAACGTGCTCATATTTGCTGGGGTGTACTACCAAAGAGACAAAACCCGCATGGAAGTAAAATCGTTACAACAACAGCAAAACCGGCAACAAGCAAACTTTGAAACCATTTCGAAGCATGGCCATTATCACATGGGTCATTCGCAAAGTGCTAATGTGATTGTAGATGTTGAACAGGATACCACTGCAATGATTTTGGCTGCTAATAGTCAACAGGAGCAGAGTAAAATGCAGCAACACCTTTGTGCTCAGTCCATTCAAATGACCAACTCTCTGAAGGCTCCACCGCCTAGCCCTAATGTAATGCAGCAGGGTAACTGCATGACACTGCCTAAAAATGCAAGTAACTACGCACAAAATTACGTCCACCAGCAGCAGCAACAACAGCAGCAACAACAACACCATCAGTGTATGACGCTGCCTAAGAATGCGACCATGATGAATAACACTGCGTGTATTGTAGCGGAAATGCAACAACAGGGGATTGTGCAACCTCCGAATGGAAACGCAACAATGCACATGAGTGTACCACGGCCGCCACCGCCGCCGCGGAGTAAATCCCCGCCGGAGAGTCAACCACTTCTCACGGCACACCATCAACCCAACAAGTCGAGCATGCGCGTGCCGCAAGCGGCCATGAGCGAGATGCGCGTGTGATAACTTCCGGACGGTTCGGATTTAGTTTAGGCGCTACTTCTAGAGTTGATACAATATTAATAAAGATTGTCTCTTCGGTTGCATTTTACCTAATGTCAGAAATGTGAAACAGGATAGAAATTTATGAAACAAATTAAAATCGACTTTTCAACTCAATAAACTCAGCAAACTACTATTACAGTATACCAAAAAGTTTTCCGAAACTCGTAAGCTCATAAAAGTAAAAATAAAAGCAAAACGCAGAAGGTAAAAGCAAAAGCAGAAATTTATTAAAGCGACGAACCGTAATTAACGAAGTTTCCTCGCAAAGATGAATTACTTTCGTATTTTGTGCCAAAAGTGCGGAGACTTTTCTCGCGCCGAAATAAAAGAACAGTGCGACGATGGCGAAGGTGTGCCGAAATTGGAGCATCATCCGGACCGGCCATGTGTACATATAAAAAAAAGAAGGAATAACCCGAAGGGTATTAATTAGATTACGTGCGGCGAATCGACGAATGATTTCATTAGAGTTCTCGTTTGTTTTTTCGGGGTTCACTCGCTCGCGCGTTCCACCAACTTGCTCATGAACAATGACAATGAACAACACAGAATATACACACACAACTCACAAAACAAAAAGTGCTAATTATTTCATAAAGTCATTATCGTTAATGAATAAATTTCGAAAACTAAAAAACAACGTGCAGATTGCAGACAATGCGGAATTTTGTGAAATGGACAATCGAAACAAAAGTATTACGATTATATGCATAGAAGTGAACACTAAAACGAAACGAATCTAAAATCTAATAAACGTTAAACAATTGTAAATATTTAATATGGAACTAAATCGACACGAATACACTAAATAAAAAATTAAAAAAACTTTAAACGTACTAGCGAGAAATGAAGCATCATGAATAGTGGAGAATCAAACGTATAGTTTCAACTTTCAACGAAAACAAAAAACAAATAGTCTTCTAGCTTTAATTAAAACCAAACTAACCATCATACTGATTTATAAAGAAAATTGTACATAAACTAAAATTACGATCTCGATATCTATGGTTTCAGTATGGATATGGATAGCGGTATGATAAACGAACTTTTAATAAAACTATGATATGTCAAATAAATGGAAACCCAAAAAAAATCATACACAAACCAAAAAACTGTATAAATAATGATAAGATATGTATGAGAATTAAATGAATACTCGTGTGACAGTAAAACATACACACGAACGCCATTGATAATTGAACTATTATAAAGATTCTATCATTTAATCGTTGTATAAATGAAACAAAAAAAAATTGTAATATTTACATGTTCTGTTTTCGAAGATTTTAAACTAGATGTCATTTTTTTAGCGGAAGCAAATGATGATGTACACGTAATTATTGATTGGTTGATTCATTTTCAATATTGTAACAAATACTCAAATACTATGCAAGATATAAACAAGATGGTGAACAAGTTTTGAGAATGGATTATTGAGAGTTGCATAACTATAGTCTGAACCACGACAACACTACAACATATACATTCAACAAATGATACGGACTTGTTAAGAAACGATGTTTAAATATGTGAACATACTAATTACATAAATAAAAAATAATTGAACTTTATACCTTGTGTTTCATTTACGAGTAGGTATAGATTACGTATATATTTTTATATAAAAAACGTGATGAACACACAATTAGATAGAATACTGTCTTGAATAAGTCACAACGTAAGTACATTTCGTTTCTATCAACTAATAATACAACTAATTAGTTTGTCCATTAATAGATTTAATTAATAATGATTAGAAAATGACTAAATTTATAACTTATTATTGTATAAAAAGTATTCAGTGCTTTTTTACGGAAAGACTACACACACCATTTTTAACTTATAGTTTTAGTGAATCTAAATTCATTTTTAATGATTTATATTCGTTTAATAACCGTGCCGGTTTCTGATTCATCTGATGGAGACGATTCCGAACTACTTTCTTTACTCAGATTCGGATTAGAATTCTTCACAAGTTTTGGAATTTGTGAAGGTGTACACTTTCCCTTGTTTTTTTCATCGTTGGTGTTTTCAGTGTGTGGAGTAGCGGTGGCGCTGGCGATTGCCGCAATGGCGCTCGCCGACAAGATGGCTTCCTGCCGGCGTTGTGATCTCGGCGTCACGCTCGTCGTCCCCGACGTGCATCCGGCTTCCGGTTTGCTCTCGTTTATGCTAACTACCGCATTAGCATTAGAAACATTGCCAGTGCCTGTGTTTGGTGGGATGTTCTGATTGGAACTAACCCCCGGGTTATCTTTCATGGTGACGCGTGGAATGCCGCGCGATTTTCCCTCAACGCCCGTGCGGCTAATCGTCGGCTTAATAATAACTTTTGGATCGACTTTCCTGATCGGATTATCCGGATCCGTCGTGATTATAGTCTTAGGCGTTGTCTTCTTCTCGAGGTGTTGTGGGACATCGGCTTCGGAAGCAACTTTACTGATTATTTTTAAATTATCATAAATTGGTTGCATGTCAAATTCTTTCTCCTTCTCCTTGTCTTTGTCTTTAGGAATTAGTGGACCGACGTAGAGATTGTTGCAAGTGATTTCTGGTTCTTTGGGAGAAGGAGGTTCATCTGCTATTTGAACTGGTGATTGTGGTGTGAAACCGGGATTGTATCCAATGTACTGAGGTAAAGTTTGTGATTTTCGTCCTAGGGTAGAACATCCTCTTGGAGGTGGCATTGGACGATAGTTATTAAACATTTTGTTTGGGGAGTTAGGTTGTGACATTGATGGATTTTCAGGTATAGGCATAAATAAAGGACTTGCTACCGGCATTGATCTACGTTTCTGCGCCATGGTCATATTTTGTCTATCTGGGTAATCTGGTAGAACTTTAGGGAAGTTTCTTCTTTTTATAATTTGTAATGATTCCTCAGGTGTTAAAGGAGTTACACAATCATCTTCTTCCCTTGATGTGACATTCACGTCATTTGATGGATCAAAACTCTTCATTTTCTTTCCGGGTTGTGCGTAAATAGGTGACCATCCATAAGGATCAGGTTCAGACTTACCCACCGGATGTTGTTGAGGTGGATGTTCAATTTTGACAATTGTTGAGTTTCCAACTGATTGATCTTCCTTTAAATCACTTGGAGGGCAAGCAATGTTGCTTTCTGTTGCTGATCGTTTCAACCCAAGAACATCTTCCAACTCTTCACTACTTCTCGTAGAGTAATCCAATGACTTAGTTAATTCTATAGGTTGTTGTCTTAGAATACTAGGACTTCGAGCAGCTGGTGTGGCATCTATTCCAATAGAAACCTTCTCTTTTTTACCTTTCATGGTACCAGTTGTTTCAATAGGTGTTACAGGTCTGGTTGGACTCTTTCCTAATGTAGAATAACTTTCTGTGGTTTTAGAATCACTCCTCACATGTTGATTAGTTGACGAAGCCATATCAAGAGCGTGCTTTTCCTGATTACCTTTCAATAATTTCTGAGTACTATTGATTGTTGCTAAGTGTTCCTGTGCATGCACATTTTTTCGAAGAAACTTAGGGCTGTACCTCTGTACAATTTCATGTGCAATCCAATTGCTGACTTTGGTATGGGGATCAATCGTACTTGCAGACATTTGACGAGATAGTTTGTAAGATCCCCCACCGCAACCACTTTCACTAACCTTTACTGCTTCATAGGTATCTTCACTGCGAGATGACTTACTAATCATTTTCATTATTCCGCATCCTCCATCACTTGGATCATCTAGTTTATCAGACACAGAGGGATCTCCTACACGCATCATCGCATTCTCAGCGACCACCTCACCATAAATCCTTTTATTTATTTCTTCACGACTCTTTAATTTCGTGCATTTATAATAAAGTCCAACAAACAAAATCACATTAACTAAAAGGAACACTCCTCCAACAGCAATTAAAACAATCATGGCTGTACCTCCAGTTTTGACAGGTTGAGTTGAACTCATTACCACAGTGCCATATTCTTTAGGAGATGATGAACCACTGTTAAGAGAAGATCCTCCAACCATACCATTTAACGTATCAATAGCACTTGAGGTAGGGGTAGTATCAAATGGATCACGTATTAATTTAACTTTACCAAACGACATCTCATCGTTTGGTTTTCTATCTGGTAATTTTCTTGCAAATTTATCTGTTAGAGTAGAGGTACCCTTACCATAGGGAAACCAAGGTGGTACATTCTTAGGTCTTGCAAAAATAGGTGGTGGTGGAGGTTGAACAGTAGTTTTAACCGGAATCATTTTTGGATGAAAAAAGTCACTCGTGTTCTTGTTCATCAAAGATGGAAGAATTTCATTCCAGTAATTGACTTCACGACTTCTGTAATGATGACTCACACGAAGTGGGATACCCAAATATAAATATTCCTCGTTCTTGGGATCAAAATCAGGCCAATCAACTTCATATGACCTCCATTCTAGAGCAGTCAGTGTCTGATAAGAAGTCTTTCTTGGTACATTCGGATCTCTGCAAATTAACAATATAAATTTGTATAAGCAAATTAATTACGATGCCAGCAAATGTACTACCGCTGGTGCTGGGCGGTGGACCTAATAACTAAAGTTAGTATTTCAGCTGCAGTTCTACGATCGGTGGGCTTTGATTAAAGAACCCCTTCTGTATTGTTAACTACGATTTACTACACTGGACCCCGGTCGCAATTCACGCTGGACTTTATTGTACGGCATAACTGAATGGACGTAAATGTGCATACCCCGTATAGGCAAAATTAGTCCACAAAGTCATGACGACTTCCGAAAATAGTTTCTCCTGCGCATTGTAGCGATCGACGAAGTGGAATTTCGGTCCGTCCAATGGTACACCAAAAACAAACGGCAGCTCCTCTCCATGCGTCGTCTTGTTGCGCTGTAACATCACAACATCAGGCACGAAATAAACATCCAACAAAGTTTTTGCATGTTTTAAATTTTAATAGCTTATTTTAATTTTAAATGTAAGTGCCAGCATTAAATATTTAAGCGTTCTTTAGAGTAACACATCAAGCCATCTTAGATTATACCGGGTGTTGTTTCTTTTGTTGGATCATACAGCGTCGAAAAAAAGCACTCCTTTGGTAATATAAAGGTAAATCCGGTTGAAGTAGAAACACTCCGAGCCTGGAAGACGTACGACGACTCACGTTAGAGAGCACGGGGCGAATTGCAAGCGTGGAGTGAGGACACAAAGTAGCGTTCGATGCTAATGTGTCGCACGGGAAAAGTAATGTCTTTAGTAGATATGTATGGGTCTGTTGGGAGCACGGAAATCGTGAATCGTCGTCCGGAATCGCATGTGCGCGCACGGCACACACACACGCGGTCGAAAAATCCAAAGCGGGATAGAATCGTGCAGAGCCGGTTTGGCAATAAACCAACGAGGGCTGTGGGCACCGCCACTTTTGCTCCCAGAAATTTATAGCAGATTGAAAACTTAAATAAGCGTTCGTCGCCCCTAGGCTTTGGAGTCTTTCATGTCACTTCGATTAAACGCCATAAACTGTACGTCAGTCATAAATTAACCCGCCCATACCGAGGACAATGCTAATTTTCGATTAGCCTTATGTAAATCACTTACGATATATTCTCGGGAAGCGGTCGTGTGGCCGAAAACATAAAAGTAACTTTGCGAGTTGACACTGGCATGATATCTGGCTGTCAGAGCGATGGGGGCTACAGTTCTTGCATCACTCAACATGTCCAACAACAAGTCTCTGGCTATGGATGCTCTGTCAGGTTCGGGAAAACCATCCATTTGGTATTGTTGGGGACCATGTGGGACATTCTGCGAATAGTGTTCGAGAGTATGCGCTACACAATTCTCAGGTTTATATTCACATCTGGCATAGAAAAACTTTCGCAATTCATGGTCTCGTTCTTTTTCTAATAGACCAAAAGCAAGACCAACTGGAGGTAACAACTGGACACTTTCTACTTCGGTAACTCCATACATCAATTCAAATCTGCTAAAGAACTCGTTGTAGGTGCTCATGATCTTTGCGGGATCATTAGGAATTACTAAACCATCAACAATTGGTCCAAATTTAGTAGAATAATCAGCTGTTGTTGCAGTTACATCAAGTAACTCAGAAAGTCGTTTCTTTCGTAAACACGCTGCAAGTTTATCATCTGATGGACAATTCAGAGCTTCAGCCACTTGGTAAGTCACTTGACGTGAGTTACTAGCTAATGCCCAGTCTGATAAAGCCGTTCCACTCATAAGAATAGCTCGGTGAAACAATTCTGTAATAATTAGTTTAATATTTGTTATTAAATATAATAAAATAATAAACTACGTTTGTTCTCCTTGGGAACCATTGGTGATAACATCAGTAAACTAATACAAGCCGCTCCAGTTCCATGTCCAAACAAAGTGATGGCGCTGGGATCTCCTCCGAAGTATTGAATGTTCTCTTGGACCCATACCAACGCCGCCACTTGGTCGACGAGACCAAAATTACTCCTCGACGTCTCTTCCAGTCCGACCTTCAGGAAACCTACACAAACCCAGAGTTTAGCATTAGAAAAAGTTTGTTAGCTGAGTCGCGAATAAATTTGTTAGATACAAAAGAAGTTCAGCGACCGTAAATGACTGCCGGGCGGCGGCGGCGCGTTAAGTGTGTGCAAAGTAGGCGCGCGGCGCTTTTGTGCGCGCGTGCTCATGCCGACAAATATAAATTTCCCTCGGCGGAAATCTCGAGTTCCCCTCGGCATGCCGGAACACGGCAGCGGACAGCGAGAGCGGTTCCAGAAGAAAAAGCAAGAAACGCAAGAAGCAGAAAAGAAGCGGCGAATACGAGTGCGGAAGACCAGGATATAGTGGTGGAGTGAAAGGTAACCCTCTTCTCATACTTCCACTTTTTCCTTCCCAGCCTCTCTCACTCACCAAAGCAAGAAAATGTATGCGAATGAATGAGATTCATTTTGCTGTGAGATTTCACAGCGAGCAGAATGGAATTTTTAATTTTTTGACCGTAACCTCAAAACATAACCTAAAACTTATAACAGTCATAACGCTCGGAATGAATAAAAATGGTGAAGAATTCAAATCATAATTCTTGGTAGATTTTATTTCGCATTGTGAATATAATTTACGAGAAAACTCTCGCGCTGACCATCGAAACAAAAGAGCGGCTGAGGAAAAAATAATAAAACAAACCACGCCGCAAACACTAGATATCCATCCGGTATCCATTGTGCGACGTTACCATAAACATTTTATGACGCAATAAATGTACTCACAGACCGAGTCCGAGCGCAAATCCTTGCTCTCGGTGCAGTTGCATAAGGATTTTATGAACCATGCAAGCGCAAATGAGAGATATTTATAAGCTTGCTGCATTTTTAACGCAAATTGAACGTCGTGGTGGCTTCGAATGTCAGTGACCATTATCAGACCAACTTCTTTGTGTAAACGCTTCATTGTTTTGTTTTGTTTGTTTCTACTTGTGTGAATTGTGCTCATAATGCAATTTTGGTAATTCAGCTGTTCTGTTGCATCGCATAATTATATTTGTTTAATTACAAATATGGTAGCGCGGATATTAAAATGTTAAGCATTAATAATTGCCTGACGTAGTCTAGTGGGAAGCTTTAATATTGTAAAATTAGCCTGTAATTATAATGAACAATGTCGAAGTAATTATGCATGAATTTTCTATTTCCGTTATTAGCGCTGATGATCATCGTTGTTTAGTTGGCTGCATAAATATATCAAGCATAATTGAGGTTAAATAAAACGTGATGGAATTAATTTTGTATTTTGTAATTACCTAAAATTCCAAGTCGAAAGTTGACTGTAACTACAATAACCTTTCCGTAACTTGCAAGGACACTGCCGTCGTATGGATTTCCAGATCCCCATTCGAAGGACTCGCCGTGTATGTACACCATTACTGGATATTTTGATGTTCGTGCGATATAATCATCTTAAACAAAGAAAAAAAATTAATTGCACTGCATGTCGGGTAATGTACTTCTTTCGTTCTGTTATTTTTAGTCGATATTCATTTGTAGGGTTTTTATTGGAATGAAATTGAAACCTTTTTATTTCATCCAAGTACGAACATCCACGCTAATATATTGTAACTTTATTTTCATCAGAGTAGCGAGCGCTGGTGCTGGTGGCGTTTGTGCGCCAAGCGGCGAGGATATTCGATCGGAAATTGGTAAGTAACTCAAAGAAAACAAAAAATATTGAATCGTGCGCGGCCGGACGGCGGGCGCTCGCGCTCGCCGGAGGATACAAAATTGAAAATTTATAGCTTGTGTTCGATACTTTGTTACTTTGTTTCCGTAATCTGTGTTGCTCGCTGGCGGCATAAGCGGCCGCCATCGCCGCCGCCGTCGGGGCGAGTTTTGAGATTAAACCAAAGTTGTTAATTACTTTCCTGCGCCTTCACGCTCTACGATAAAAAGATGTTGCTATCAGTAATTTGTGAGTCGCTAATTTATTTTAATAAAACTCAATGCTAAATCTTCTCAAGAAATTTAAACGTACTTTAATATAATATCTTATTAAATATTAATTATTGCAAACACGTTTAATTTAATTAAAGAGTTTAATATATTAAAAGTCTTTACTAATATATTTATTAGCTTTTCCCTTAAATAAAATCGTTATAAAAAGAAAACTGTAATGTTGATAACTAGACGACCAACTCTGCACAAAGTACATGTAAAAGCTTGAGCTTCAAGCTCGCAGATGGCGGTATCGGTATAGAGTACAGGAATTTTCCGAGCGGAATTTCCCTCAACTAATCTCATCTCATCTCGCTTCCACCTCCAGCGCTTAGATCAATAATCATCGCGCCGGCATCCTGCCAGCTCCGCCGGAAATTCTTTACGCTTTAATTAAAAACTTTAATAGACGATTAAAAAGCCCATTAGGGAAACAATACAATCGGCTTTACAGAAATATGCGTTTTTTTCCTCTCCACAAACACACACCCCTAACTGCAAAAAGCACACACAACATCGTCGCCGCCGCACGCGCACCATAATTCACCACTGCCCCCCGCTCGCACGCTTGCAAACTCGTAAACTTTCAACTTGATTTTCGTACGAATACGCTTCTTGTTAGGGATATACTTTTTTGTTTGGGCTGTTAGCAAAGCCGAGAAGAGCATGTTGGCAAAATGTAAATTGCGGAATACAAAAGGAACGTTAATTAATTGACTTTTGGTAAAAGTACGAAAGTACGAAACCAAAAAAATCCGATTCAGATTTTGCTGTATAATTAAAAATTTCCCAAACAATACAAAACATGTTTGTTAAAAACAGCTTAACATTAAAAAAATAAAACAAGTACTAATGTATTGGATGCATACATGTTTGAGAGCCATCAATTGAGGTTAGAAGCAATTTGAAAGCAACACGAGATCCAATCTTAGCGTATTTTCTTTAAATTTCAACTTGCGTGGGAAAAAAATCGAAGGAATGATCAAACATTGAGCAAATGTGGTGGGCGAGTACGAGTGTAAGTAGAATCTAATTACACCTGCGCGGAAATAGGAAATGGGAAATGGAAAATAGATTGCAGACCTCACAATGGAGGCAAATGGTAATTTAAACATCGATTTGTCGACAGAGGGGAAAAGTTTACTTCCTTCCAGTGCCGTGTTTTCAAGCGTTGCATTCGGGCGGTTGACGACACGAGAAGACGCGGAGAAGTATGTTCGGTTGTTAATCATGCAGATAAGGACGTCGTTTAAATTTACATCAAGCGTCTAGCCGGGGAACTAGATCAACAAACACGTTTTTCGTGTTTTCCCAACAAAAACAACACCAGCGCGAAGATGGGGAGTCAATTATGATGTATTGTTGAACATGCAACACGATTGTCATGAATTTATTCTGTTTTCACAAAGATGGCGTAAATATCTTTGAGAATTGTTAATTTGCTTTCATTTGGAGTACATTTGTACATTTCCTGCATTTGTTTTTCGGAGCGTTCTAAGATTAGCAGCGTGAAAATGCAAACAGAGATGCCAATCACGAAAGATGCAAGGATATCATCACACCAACAAAGAAATCATTTGCATTTCATATGGGATTACTCTGATGACGCCTGCAACTCGTTTTCCACAACAGTAGTGTACATGCTACAAACTGCGAATTTAATCCCTTAATATTAACTGTGCATTTTAAGATTTTAAGTACAGAAACAACGCAAACTGCAATATCAAGTATAATTTGGGTGGTATGCCCTTACAATAAAATTTAAATTTTAATAACCTCCAGCCACTATATCTGTATCTGCATGTATGTAATAAATCCTAAAATGGCACGGTTTATGCCTTATTTGAGTTATTGCAGCTTCCATCTTTGAGTGTTTGGGTCAAACCTCGATGTTTGAAATATTACGCCCCATATGTTTTATTACTCGCTCAATTTTGATGCTTGCTGCCCTGGTCTCTCTTCTAGTAAGATGGATTCATGAGTCGCGCGTGCCCCTCTGGGTCTGGCCAAGTGTATATTGTGTAATGATGAAAAATATGGTTTTAATATAGCGCCGCCGTCAGTCGTTCATCGGCGTCGTGTGAGCTATTGAATGTCAGAAGTGACGAATGAGTCGACGGCTACACCCTCTGCCGCCCCCGTGCACGACTCCCTAGACGCGGACGCTCGCACCGGCGTCGAACGTCGAATGTCGATAAATTACGATTATGGAATTACACGAGCGGCGCATGCAAAAATTGACGCGCCGCCACAATGATCTATAAACTACGCTTTTACGGGCGCATTCCGGGTTTTAGAGGTTTGCGCGCTTTTTTCGAGTGAGTGACACGGAAATAGAAGATTGAAAATAAAAATAGAAAACGTAAGGCGTTTTATGACCTAATCGGAGGTGATATAAAATATTCCTCAAGAAAATTGCATTTTTAAGTTCATTCATCACTATAACTTCCAAGTTTAACATTTGTCAACAAAATGACAAATAAAAAAGCATATTTTCACTAATTCCGAGCTGTTTCTGTGAGTGATAAATGTAAGACATTTATTACAAATAAAATTTGTTAGACTTTGCATTTATCATCGCTGCAGGCCTCATTTTAAAACACGGATTAAAGTTAAACTGTAACTCAAAGTAAAAACATTTGGTTTAGTTTTAAAATTTTACTTTTTACGTGCGTGTTTTTTTGCATTTGTTGTTGCTTCATTTGTAGAGTAAACGCTGTCGTTTTGATAAAAGTACAACGTATGTATGTCACGAGTGTACACAGCAAGAAAAACCGTTATATTTTTCTTTCATTGCACGAGCGCAGCAGGTTTTCCGCAAGAAGTCACACGACTTTGGCGTCCCTCGTGCGGCGCACACGCGAGCAATGCTTCTTATGATCTCCGGTTATATATTCCTTCGGGTCGGACCACCACGCCGCGAAAGGACATTTCGGTGTGCACCACAATATGAGCGATAATGTAATTGTCTCTTGCGGTTAGGCACCGAGGCACTAAAAGTAATAACTGCAACTGGACCCTCACATATTATATTCTCCACGAGAAGAAATCATCATAAAACAAACTTACAGTCAAACAGTCACACATTTTTAACTGCAACAATGTAATATTTTTCAAAGTACTTTTAATAGAAAATTTTAATTATTTTGTTGTTTCTGCAATAAAATTTTATTTAATTATGATCAACCAGTATACTGGAGATGAACGAGAATGAGACGAAGAGCAAGTGGAAAACTAAAACTTGAAGTGGCAGCAGTTTCGACAAAATTGGCCGGCGAGAAGGCCATGCACAACGAAAAAAAAAAAACGAAAACGAACCACAAACCGAGCCAAAAGGAACTCGTGCAACCCGCAAGCATGTTTTGCTCCTTTTTCTTGATACTTTTCTGTAGTTGCCTGCAAACATCCACCACTGATTGTTGCAAACATCATAAGTTTTGCTTGGACGCGAAACTGCGTTCACGGAACCGACAACTGCAATGCAATCAAGTGGTTTTCACACCTTCAAGATTTGTACGTTTTGTCCTGTGAGTGGAATGTCAGCAGAACACCATGAAACACAAATAAACACAATCAAACGTGTTGCACTCCTCATACTAATCAGGCTAACGCTTACAAAACTACAAAAACTAAAATTATTTCGCTTTGCCTGGTTTGTTTTTGATTATGTGCGTTTGTGTTATTGTTTATTTGCATGTGTTGTAGATTAAAATATAAATTTTTAAGCATGTCCGCATGAATATGACGCCCTGGCCCCCAAAGCCATGCCTGGAAATTAATTACATGGAAATTGCTCGTGTGCTAACAAATTAACAAAGTTTGCGTTGTCATTGTGGGCGATGTCGCGATGGCGGACAAAGCCGCCAGCCAGGAATGGCTTTCCGCGCAGATGACAATGCGCTGCATTCCGCAACTTGCATTATTTAACTAATAATTATCATCCTGTGATTGATTACGCTTGCGTTACTTTTTCCACAAACACCCACACATGCATTAAATATTAATGGAAAGCGATTGCAATCTCATTACTCAAGTTATATGACGTATATTTTAGCACCACTGCAAGTGGCGCCCTCTTTTAGGTTAGAATTTAATGAAAAAAACGGAATTTTTATTGTGTGTGTTGGTATTTTGTAGATTTTCATGTAATATTCTCTTATCGTGTAATTGCTTTGGCTTATGATAGTGATTTCTTCTAGATTACCTTGCTCGCAACGCTTAATTACGTCTAACGACGCCGAAGAACAACAAAATGTCGACTCTTCAAACCGCAATCAAAGAGTTTGCCACAAGCGCCCGCCTCGGTTTTTATAAGAAAGCACAATTTTCCGATGAGCGCCAGGCCGCAATATCCGCTTGTGTCTCCGCCGTTCGTCGCCACTCTTCCCCGCCGTCGCCATTATCGCCGCGATATTATCCACATCAGAGCGCGCACGAACGCCGCAACATCGCACTCATTAGTGGCGTC